AAAAAAATTTGTCTGGGATAATGAACACAGTCAACTCCAGAGACTACAGTCGTTCCTTCGGGTCGTTAGATACACTAAGTTGCTGAACATCCTAGCAATAAAAGTGATTGACATCGGATTGGATTTTCCGAAAACAATTTATCCTTTTCAGTATTCAAAAGCGAGAAGTAAGCGAAGCATTATTCGTGCGTAGCCGAGTGAAAAGTTCCATTGGATGTCTAGCTGAGAAACCAAGTCTCCTGGAGAAGCGCCCATGGCTGACGGTCGAGATCGGCGATTTATTATTAGCCTAAGTTCTAGTGAATCGAGCAGTTTAGATGAAATATCTCAAAGAGATGATGATTCTGAAGGGTGGGCTGATTGCCAGACTTCGTGTGACTCTCCGCAGAGCCGAGAGATCGATATTCATGGTGAACCAACGGCAACTGTCGGTGGGCAGGGAGCTTGCAGTGATCAAGTAACTAAGGATATGCACTCGGAAGCATCACCCAAACAGGGAGTAGCCCTTGATCAAGAGGTCTCTAAGCCTTCATCAGTGGCAAAACCCTCTCCGGAAACCTGTAAAAGCAAAATTTTTGCTGGAAGTGCTCTATTCGGGGCTGGTTTTCCGTCTGGTCCACCGCCCTCAGGCAATGTGATTATCCCTTCTGAAAAAGACGATCAGCAGCTTCCACGATATCGAGTTGCGAGCGACTCGGAATGGGATGCGATGGAAATTGAGAAGAAAAAGAAGGCTGCTAGTACTCCTGCAAGTGGTCCGTCTTTTCGCAGTACGCGGCGTAAGGAACCCTCCTCAAATGTGAGTGTGCCAAGTTCGTTCCGCTCTACAGCCACATATTGTCTATATACTTTTGCGTTTGTTAATTCAAGTTTCCAAAGAATGAGTCCACGAAAAATGTGAAACAGTCCACAAGACGTTCGACTGAAGCAGCTTCCGAACAGCGACCAACATATGAAAAACAGGTGGGTCATATTTCGAGTCCTGAATCCATTAGTCTAGATCCATACACCTTTCTTCAACAAAACAATGGGGAACTAGTGCACCAAAATGAATCACTCGTTCTCATTTCGAAGATAATTTAATCTTGGCGTAGTCCACCTCTTGAAAAAAAGAAACAAGTGTCAGCAAGTCGAACGCTCACATTTTCTAGAGTGACCAAAGTAAGAGAGATGTGGAAAAGAGAACATATCCCGGTGAGTTGTCCATGGAAAGGACGCGAAGGGAAGAAACCATCCAGCAATCGGTATTGAAAGCGGAAAGTGTTTCCCACTTGTTTTTTCCAAGATTCCATAAAGTTATTATGTGAAGTGGAATCTCTCTTGAATTTCAGCCTCAAAATTTGGTGTACAGAAGCTACACGAGCAATCCTTCACGAAACCGGCGGACGGTTAGCAAAAAGGATTTTGTGAACGTCTGCCGACAATTAATAGGTTCTGAAAGCGAAGACGAGGTACGAGGTGTTGGCTCTAATGCTACTTTTTTTTTGCTATGCTGTGTAAAATAGGGTCATACATCGGTCATCATGATGACAACTAAGAGGGACAATTGCTTGTGGTGATCTCAAGACCTATATCAGTCCGAGATCAAAGTTGCACTTTGCTCAGGTTTTCATCACAGTTCACACAAGAACGCGACCATTTTTATGCGTTGTTGTATCTCCCCAGTAGTTGTTTGTAGTGTAAGTCTGCAAGTTTGAGATTTCAGTCGTAACTCGTAGTTCAAGCCCATGTTTGCAAAGATTGACTGAATTCGAAGAAGTGTGTTGTCCCTGGATTAGAATTAACAGCCATTCATTACATCTTTTTCAGCAATACTGTGATGAGCTCGATCTGGAACAGAACCAATGTCTTCCAGCCAATCATTCCAAGTTGGCGGATTTTTTTTTACTTCTGGAAAGATTTCCAAAATTAGGAATCAAAATAAAAGTTTCTAAATTTGTTTAGCTCAGAAGAATGTTATCTACCTCTACGTCCTAGTTGCGCCTCTTCCGTTCTGATCAACAAATTTGTGAATGCGGATCCCGATGCTGGCATGGTATGCATGAAAACATATCTGCTTTATGTTCAGTCGCTCACTTCGCTGGTTTTTCATTTTTGGCTCCGCATCCAGCTGTTATTGAACATCTTGCTCTCACTATCTTTTGTAATGGAGGTTAGTTTTCAGATATGCAGTGAAGTACGGTGTCGCGGTGACAGTCAGCACATAGATGATCTTTTGCACAACATTGTTCATAAATTCTTTTCGAGCACGACCTTGTCATCAGGTATGACGCCTCGCTTTGTGACCTTTTGCTTTCGTTCAGTAATTCTGATTTCCATTTAATCCGCCTTACTATTTTTCAAAAGTTAATCTATGAAATGATGATGATTTTCGCTTCCAATCACTTCCGATTTCTTCAAATGGCTTGGTGTTGTTGTTTGTGGTGCTAGATCTTATTTGGTGGTGAAGCTTTGGCTTCACTATCGCAAATTTTCAGCATTTCGGAGTCGTCCATTAGTTAGGGGCTGCATCGATGTGAGCTAGCTGGTCTAGGTGTTCTTTTTTATTGACATCGAAATCTCACTTTTAAGTCGCTGAAGCCATTATATACAGTTAAGGCGCGATGATCTGATTACCGTCACTGGTGGAATCGTTAGGTTGATGGGAGACAGGAGCTGATTCTTCCAAGTAAAACTTTAGAATTTGCGAACATCAAAATTGCAATTTTGAGCGCTCCATTTGTAGCGTGTTAATAGTGAATAACTCGCTAATGACTGTCTGAGGCCCACTCATTAACTTGTATTTACCATCATTGAATGTGAGTGATCATTCACGTTCCAGTGCCCGGTAGGTCATTGTAACCATACATGCAAAAAATCTACTACGATTGTATTTGATCAATATATTTCCAGGAGCGCTATCGGTAGTTGTGGATCTATTTGAATTTCCTCCAACACTTTCCTCAAGACCATCAAACCGTCTTCTGAGGCCGGTTACCATAGGTATTTGTATGGTTGTTTGTTTGTATATGTTATTATATGCATGTTGGCCTTTTTTGTGAGCACATTGTTTTGTAACGGAGCTAGCCGTGGTTTCACTGCTTCATACCACTTTTCTTCCTGTTTTAAATCCTCGTTTCGGATGGATTTCGATGTCAGCTTCAGGAATCGCTTGCAGAGTTTTTCCTCCAAGAGCTTTCATTTCAGATGGTTGTGCTGTATCTGGCTGTTTTGACAAAGAATATTCTGTGCATTGGGGAAGGATAAAGGACACGAGAAAAATCGCTTGGACTCCATGCAAAGTCCTTTCCATGAAACCCATCTATCAGTGTCTGGTGGAATTTCTGCTGCGCGGGCACAAAGTGAGTTTCCTCTGATATGTTCCATGTTTCAACCAATAATACGCAAATTGTACCCGTACGCGTTCTCGTTTGTGATTCCGACAAATATGGTTGCCAGTCGTGTACGCTCCTCCCCAATCTCTAAAGTTTGAGTACTTATGCCTTTTTCTACTGGCTGTTCTATCATATGGTCGATGATCTGGCGGGATTACAGCTAAGCTCAACGAAAAGGACCAAGCCATAGAGCTGAGTAGGAGGAAGCGTGCGGTATGGGGAATGTAGCAAACTCGAGGGGAACTCAGAAAGCCGAGGTATATGTATGAAACGGCACGCACATTTTTAACTCTACAAATCTTAGTGTGTTTTATAATTAAAAAAAATCTACCCAGGTAGAAAGAGCATGCGGTCAGCGTTGTATCCGATTATCAGGCGCTAGGTTATTTCCTTTCTTGGCGTATTATCGCGATGCCTTTCTGCACGCAGAAATGTAGAAGGAAATCTGGACTTTAGATCTTGATATTTCGTCGAGGATCAAAAATGCTGCCGCATTTGCCGAGGAATCGAATTTCTGGTGGGCCTGACATATGTAAATGTGTTGCGATGCAGACTTGTTCTTTCATAAATCTGGGCAAGCGAGTCCGTAAGTTGGCGATATTTCTTGGCAATGAGTGTGGGGGGAGGGGGGGGTGGGGGGGGGGGGGGGGGGGGGGGGGGGGGGGGGGGGGGGGGGGGGGGGGGGGGGGGGGGGGGGGGGGGGGGGGGGGGGGGGGGGGGGGGGGGGGGGGGGGGGGGGGGGGGGGGGGGGGCGGGCCTCCCCCCCTCCCCACGTAAAATCGAATAAGAGGTGAACGAGTAGGTGATACATGGGTGACACGTGTGCACTGGCAGATAAGTGAGACAGTTCTTTATAAGCTGGACTTCTGAGGCGCCCGACTTTCATTTCTGCTCCGTTGACACTAGGGTTCAATCCGTATCTGGCCATATAATCTATGATTTATGCGGTGTTAGCAATAGCTGACGTCTACGTGTCTATGTGTGAGTTTCTAAGAAATGAAGGAAAGAAGAAAGGAATAAGTCGGATGAGGCTAAGTTCCACTCAAAGTCCGCAAAGAGGATAGGAGGGTGGCCACCAGTGAGAAAAAATGTTAAAAAAAATCGTGAAATGCGATAGGAATGTACGAGCCTTTTGCTCTACGCTGCGGAGAAGTTCAAAAGGCCGGCAGGGAGATGAGAGATAATGTGAGCGCGGAGAGCGCTAGAGAAGTACGAGTAGAGAGAGCATAGCAGATCAAGTTAGCGACGCAGACAAGATATCGAGCGGTGGGCGGAGCGTGTCGGGGCTGTGTACTTGGTGGAGCGGTGTTCGAATGTTTCCTAGCGCTAGCGTTAGGCCCTGTTCAGAGATGTCCGCCGGCGCGAAAAAACGCACAGGCGAAAATCTCCGCCAAGATTTAGATACGCATCGACTGAGAAATTGTGAAACGCGTAAGCGAAACGTCCGGAGCAGGCGAATTTCAGTCAAGAGTTTGATATGTATCGACTGTGAGAAACGCACAGGCGGAAAATCGCGTGAGCGAAGCGTTCGTAAGTCGATGCGTATGATACTCATTTTCGTCGATCCTCCCACTTCACGATTCGCCTGTGCGTCTTCGTTCAGTCGATACATATTTCACATTGTTTCGCCTATGCGTTTTTTCGCGCAAGCGGACATCTCTGAACAGGGCCTAAGGAACCCTTCGAAGTAGGAAGTGAAGCGACCTCTGCGATTGCGTACCCAGCGCTTCTAGCCACACTAAAAGCTCACTGAGTGTGTCTGAGCCCGAAATTTGCCTTTAAGCATCAAGGAAGCGACTATGCGGGGTCGCTGTCTTAGTCTTTTTGCGAGGAATTCGAGCCAAGGGAAATGAGTGGTTATCAAATCGCCCTCTGGCCATTTTATCAATCCGCCAAACTAAAGGCTTTGAAGTCGATTGCATATTTTGTTTTAATGTTTGCCTCCCGAACTAACTTTCCTCTCTTGCTAGGTCACTGTTGCTCTTCCTGCGTATTACCGCGATGCTTCATTCAACGACTTACGGAGCAAGGTTGGGGAGCACATCTAAAATTTCATTAGAAATTCTTACCTTGTTATTTATACATTTTAATTTCTTGAGGTGGACGACGTAGAAGCTCTCAATGTGCTCTTGAATCTCAAAATAATCCAATTCGTCGACAACCCAAATGGACGTAACATTATGGACGAAGTTAGAGCGCAAGTGGACAGGGTACTGATTATTTCTTACTCTTTACTTCAGTAAAAGTGGCAACAAAATCCAGAGTTCTTGGTGTTCATGATGTCTGTCTGAGGGATCTGATTGGAAGACTTGATTCAAAAGATCTTTCCCGAACACTTATCCACCAATATCAAATTCCAT